ACATAGTATACCGGGAGAACAAATGGCCCAGTTGTCAAATACACTGCATTTTACTGTGCAGAGTTACCTCCCTTCGACGTTATAGAAGCCAATGGTCGTGTGTTCGAATCCGGGTTTTCCGACCACGTCAAGCTAACACATTGTAATGTAGCTGGAAGACTAATGTTCAAAGAGTAAATAAACCAATTTCAAAAAATCATCGCTAAAACACAAGATAAGGATTTTTTCAAGCAGTTGCAAAAACTCGTATCCATTGTCAAATTTAACAGTTTATCTTCTACAAAAACAAACACAGCTTGTCTACGTAGCATCTTCTCAATGTATCATATCTCAAAAAGGGCCCCAAGCTATACAAGCTGATCGGTCGGAATGACCGTCGGCGATCTGCATGGTGAGCTAACATGAAGAGCATTGCATGACGTATCTCTCTATAGTAATGACCCAATCACTGATAAGAATATCGATGAACACAGATAATGGATTTTTCTTATCACCTAATCGACAAGAGCCTCATATATCAGTCGCGTGACATTTTTACTGCTCAAAAATGTCTACAATGGTGATTAACAACGCGAGAGGAGACAAGGTATTACCAGGTGAAGTATTCTTCGCACTTATAGTTGTAGTGGTAAGGCGTTTGGACAGATTTATGAGGTGGGAAATTAAATAAACTTTTTATGGTATTTTTTCTAAAATTTACGATTTTGTTATTTTATGTAAATCACAGCACCGATATATATCGATATATCGTTTACACCGATCCACACATTACGTTTAATTACACATATTAACGTTTTATCTTAGTAGAGTTAATGACCCATTAAGAAATATGTACAAACAAACATGAGAATATTGATTGACGATGATGCGGCTTTATAACGTTGGGCATTAAGACTGATATAAAGAAAATATACAATGCTCTTACAGACTTTAATTAATTCTCCGTGTAAAGTCACTGAAAGTGAAAACCCCGCACAATGAACCATTTCTCTTGATCCGTGAGCGTGAAGCTTATAATGAAGAAATAATCTTAAAACGAACGCATCGTGGACAATGCTCCACCTTCAGGCTTGTCCTTGCCTGCAGATTGAGACCGCGAGTGTTGCGCGATGTTCATTCGTTCCGAGTCGTCCAAACTCTACATCCTCATTGTACTGAAATATAGAGATGGCATTCATTTGTTTGTTTTCTTGTAATCCCATTATGTCAGAGAAGTGTTTGAAAAGCCGACATCCTCAATGGCAACTAATTAGGACGTTATTGAAAGTCAAGTGCCCGTGACGGGTTAGCCGTGATCACACGAAAGATGGTCCGCTTGGACACTAGTTGTGCTGTAACTACGACGATTGAGATGTCGGACTGACTGAGTTTGGTTTTACGCCGCTTTTAGCAATATTCCAGCAACATCACGGCGGGGGACACCAGAAATGGGCTTCACACAATGTACCCATTGGGATTCGAGCCAACGCTTTAACCACTAGGCTACCCCACCGCCCCTGAAATGTCGGAGGCAACTGCGGTTATTTGTATCTGTTCAAAAACATCATAATGTAGTGATTTGCTGAAAATGTTAACAATAACAGTCATTTAAAAAAATATATTTCTGGCGTTGATGACGCACCAATAAAATGGAGTTATCTGCCCCTGACATGGTAAATTACTGTTTACTTTTCTCACGTATCTCATAAAAACACAACATTGGTTTTGCGGAGATATATTCTAAAATCCTTATTATGGACCAATTGTAGCCTATTTACTTTATGGGGGCGGTGGCGTAGTCTAGTGGTTAAAGCGTTGGCTCGTCACGCCGAAGACCTGGGTTCGAATCCCCACATGGGTACAGTGAGTGAAGCCCATTTCTGGTGTCCCCCGCCGTGATATTGCCTGAATATTGCTAAAACCGGCGTAAAACCAAACTCAGTCAGTCAGTCAGTATTTACTTTCTGAACAACATTCATGGACTGAAAATAATCCCCCTCAAAAACGTTATCTGATTGTTAATTACGACTTTCAAAGATTTAAAAAATATGAAGTGTCCCTGTGTTTTAGTTGTGTTTTTTTGTCTCATCAGAGCAATACTATACAAGTTGAATAACTGCATTAATAATATGTTGGTGTATATTGTACATACATGCGACTGCATACACTCTATTGACTTATGTACATATTGCTTGAGTCAGGGAGTGAGTGAGCATGGTTTTACCCCTGCTTAGCAATAGCGCGACAAGCCAACGCTTTTACGGTTACCACTAGGTTACTCACCGCCTCCGTGGTGTAGTGGTTAGAGGGTCCGCCCGGAGAGCGGAAGGTCGCGGGTTCGATCCCCGACCGCGTCATACCAAAAGACGTTAAAATATGGTACTTGATGGTCACTGCCTGGCGCTCGGCATTAATGGGAACATCAAGGACTGGTCGGATCGGAGTCAGTATAATGTGTCTGAGTGGGGTATTCATGCTTCACTGCGGCATGGTATCTCAGTGGGCTAGCACTATAACACCAGCTTAAGTCTGGGCTAGTACAAGCAGCCGCACATACACACGCATGCACGTCGTCATATGAGCGAAATATTCTCAAGCACGACGTAAAACCCAATTTCACCTCCTCACCTCACTAGGCTACTGCATCACCGCAGGTGCTTTGAGTTCAGACGACAAACGAATGAAAAATAATGTAAATACGCCTTGACATCAACAAATCCGAGATGTTTAGAAAGTACAAAACTTGCTTTACTGGTAAAAACACCCAACGGGCATTGTAATATATATTTTTTTTTCAATTTATTATTCCCCTATTAAAATATCTCTTGTAAATGAAAAATACATAGCGACTGGCGTCGAAAATTGTACAACAAACTAATATGTTGACTCTGTGGTAACATATATAAACACAGACATTATTTTGTTTACACATGTCACAGTTTATTGTTTTACCTGCACTATATATATACGAGGAACACAATGGGTGAGAGTGCGCGCGCATCAGACTCGAACTGTCAAGTAGAGAAATCATGTCAAGGCAATTAAGAGATTAAGAAAGTGACCCAGTACACTTTACATTGACGCTTTTGAGTTTGCATAGCATATTAGATGTTTGTTTATTAACCGAATTAAAGAAAACAATGGAATTTCTAAATAAATTTGCTGAACAAATCCTCTCAACACGATGGACATTTCACTTAATGTGATTGAAGGGTGATTGGAGGAGACATGAACTGCTTGTACACATACTTACATATACTTACATATTAAGTAGTTCTGCATCTATACAACACTTTGTATGCCTGTAAATACACATGTGCTCCAATGTCCGTTACATTGACGCTTTTTAGTTTGAATTGCAGCTTGATTTTTTAATGAAATGAATTAAGAATACAATGTCATTGATTGAAGGAGACCTAAGGCGCTGCGTGCGTGTACAATGTATATACTTACTATATGGTACTATACATATATACATATGGTAATTATTACACGCACACTAAGTGCTGCTTGTATATGCATGCATGCTCTACTGGTACATCATCATCATCATCAATCTGAGCTTAACGTCGGCTTCTGGTTGTAGCCTATGTCGCCGACGGGGTAGGTGGGAACTAATTTAATAATCAATATGTTTATAATAGGGAATAAACCACCGTACCCCCAAAAAATAAATGAAGGGGTATTACTTAAATCAGAGACCATATATATATAAGAAAGTAAGATTGTTTATGGACAACACTTCTTTCATTATATGTGATGCGACGTTTTGGTATAGATTTTTATACCGTTGTCAATCCATACCGAAACGTCGCTTCATATATAATAAAAGAAGTTGTTATCAATAAACAATCTTACTTTCTTATTAGTCACCAACTTCTAAATGCCAATCAAACAGATCATATATATATATACATAGAACTTTGTGTGCGTGTAAACACCATATGTGAGGTGTGAAATATTTTGTCTCATTTTTTACATGTACATACAGTAATTAACATCTCAATGTTCGAACAATTCGGGTCTATTTTGTCATGAACGGTATCAGACACCAATTATTTACACTAACTTTGAACAGGTGAGAAACTCAATTCCTAGAACTAATTAAGGAGACTAGACAAGACTGATCGCTCAAGCTTCCGAGTAATAAAATACCTAGTCTACTTATTCTGTACACTCGTTTAAATAAACATGTGATGTACCTGGTTATGACAGGTGAAAGGGAAGGTGTGGTTGGGGCGTGGTGTTGAGAGGGTGTCGGGGTTGACGCTTTGTTACATAAATACAATAGAAATGTTGGGTACTAGCCTCCCCCCCCCCCCTCTCCAGCAAAACACTACAGCAAACAAACGAAAAAACGTACAAGTTGTTATTTGAAAACAAGTATTTTCTCAGGGCAAGATATCTTAGGGACCAAATGGCACTATACCCCAAAACATCAGCATACATATGTGCATGATAAATATATAATAAGTGATGTTAAACGCAACTTAGGAGCAAAAATCAGGGGCTTGTTTTATTGTCCATACATATAGAAAATACATGAAAATATTTGTCAACAATACCTCATACTGGGATATAAAGAGTGCATTTTAAACTGTTTAACTTAATGCAAACATATTTTCATGAACTATGAAATTGGTCCAACTGCAGCAAAGCAACGTTTAAGTACAGTATGTTTTAAGATTAGGTTGGCTTAATTTCTTTAATAAATTCATAAGTATCTTAATCTATTTTTATTCAAATTATACTTTCTGGTAAGAAAACGTGTAAAGATACTTTTCACAATTTTTCGCAAGTTAATCAGCTTGTCTCGAATGCGTGAGAAAAGAATAGATTGATTTTTACAACATTTCTAAATGATTTCGCGAATTAGTGCGCTTTGGCAATTTGCACGATTCTAGTTACGTAACACGGGAAATCGCAAGATAAAAGATCGTAAAGTCGCAGCTGTGCACTCGCCTCGTTTAGAAATTGTTTATCACGTGACTCGCCAAGCGTGGTTTTATTGGCCGGTTCAAGCTACAGCGGGGAATTCAACGGGTAGACACACAACACGAATGACCTGACCTGACAAGACAAGAGAGTTTCAAAATTTTCGTCTGTTTGAAGCTGCTGTCCGCTGTCTTACGTGGAGTCACTTTATTTAACTGCGCTACAACTTCTGGAGACTACCAACTCCTCTGAGAGTGGTATATTTATTCAAACGAGTCTCGTTTCATCATTTGGAGGCTCGTGAAACAAACCAGATATGTCTCTTTTACAACAAACCAGGCCTAATTTTGGAGATGAAAATGCAGAAGGCCCGAGGAAGACAAAGGGACTTTCAGTTAAATCTTCAAACCAAGCTGCTCCAAAGCGAACAGCCCTCGGCACGATAACAAATCAAGTTAGAAAGCAACCGTCTCGTGCTGCCAAGGTAAGTTATTTCACTTATGAACCGTCCGGGAAGCCATTGACCTCCACAGACAAAAGCCCACGTTTTCAAAGTGTGTGCACTTTACTCGCGATATTTATGACTTGTAAAATGCTAATAAATGTATGTGTAAGCAATATTTTCTAACAATGTAGTGTCAAATAATGTTTACCATGCACATATTCGTTGACGACAAACATCACGCTGCTCAGCGTTCAAGTTAAAAATGCATCGGCCATGTTGGCACAGCTGTTCAAAAAGATTAGCCCAACCCACACTTGGCTCTACAGTATGTTTCACGATCACATCTGGGACAAGTTGAGAAGTGTTATGTGGGTCTTTTCTTTTTCAGGGTAATTATTCCACGGGTCAAGATGAAAATGGCTTCGCACGTCAAAAACCTTTCGCAGATGCTCCCCAGGGATTTTCAATCTTTGTCGACGAAGAACCAACTCTACAAGCTCTTAAACCAGTATCTGTATGTCACTCGACTGAATCGAACACATCGGGCATTAAGCTATCGGACGCAGTGACTTCATTACCCGATGTTTCCTCAACGCTCTCGTCACTTCAAGACAATGCCATTCATGTTGACGAAATCGGTAAGCGGGCCTACAGTAGACAACTAACGCCATAAGCCTATCAACACTGAAAATGACCATTCGGATCCCACAAATCTAAATCGTATTCTGAAGTATTGAAACCTCATAGTTCATTTTCAGGCCTCCAAATTTGAATTAAACCAGACGATTTTTGGTACCAAATATTTAAATATAGGTTTGCTGAGATGACTTGCATTTACCGGTAGCTATTAACAGTACAATGATGAAAAGACCAGTTTTACATAGCTGACCTGTCTAGCATCCTTTATTACTGATTCATTTGTGACGTATAACACTTTTCAGATTCACCCATGGTATTGGACACAACACTTGATGAATCATCAGTATCCAAACCTTTGGACAGAGAAGCTGTGATACTCACTGTTCCAGAATATGCAGAGGATATTTACAACTACCTCAGGGAAGCCGAGGTAAATATCATTAAGCAGTCATTTGTGACCCAGGGATTGGGATAGAGATTTTTGACAATGGGCCATTTTCAGGATTATTAGCTGTTTTTTTAATTTAGAATGAGCCACTGCCCTTGTATCAATAGTAAACTAAAATTTAATGGGCCATTTTTTTTATTCTATTAATGTGCAAAATGGACCATGGCCCTGCTTTTCCCCATCCCTGGTGACCATCCATTGCTTAAAGGGATGCCACAATAGAAGACATTTTTTTATCAAAGGGCAACTGATTGGGCGTAACATATACTAACCCTAAAGTTTGGGAACGAAATCGGTGAAGCTGTACTGCATAATTTGTTTTGAGATGCAACTTTCTTGGGTGGAAAAAAAATATTGTAAAATGAGTTTCCCGGGAAGTCAAAGGCTATTTTTTTACAATGGCTTGTTACATATTTTCACTATAGTAGTGTCGAAAGCAAGGTAAAATCTGTTAACATGAACCTAGAACTTAGAAACGAACGCTTCCATTTTACAGCTCAGAAACCGTCCCAAACCAGGCTACATGAAGAAGCAGCCCGATATCACCAACTCGATGCGCAGCATCCTTGTTGACTGGCTGGTAGAGGTGGCAGAAGAATACAAACTACACAGGGAGACATTGTTCCTTGCAGTCAACTACATTGACCGATTCCTCTCTCATATGTCTGTCAACCGAGGCAAACTGCAGCTTGTTGGTGCTGCTAGCATGTTCCTTGCTGGGTAAGTTTTGACCCTTGTTGATTAACACATTAACCAGTTGCCTCCCCTTGTTCTGCTAAGCTATAATTTGTTTGCAGTGAGAACATACGATGAATTTCAGTTTAAACAAAAAAGTAAATCAAATAAAGTGGAATTGATTGTGAATCCTCAGAATTTTACCTTGCGAAAATGAACATTAAAACCTCAGAATTTTATTCAACAAATGATCATAGTTTCAAATCGCTAAAATTGGTTAGTATTACAAGGAGTATGCACATCAAATGAAACACCAAGAACAAGTAGACAGAGGCCCTGATAAGCTGCGTATCCGAGTAAAATACGCATATAAAATTTCGAATTACGCATTGAAAAATTGTTGCATACCAATTACGCATTTAAAATGTTAGATACGCAAAAAGTTTAAAACAAATGTGTACGGAATATATATTTATAAAAAATCGCGTACATTGATTGGTATCAAATTGTACTGTTAGTATAGGATGAGTGATTTTTTTATGAAATCATTTCCATTATATTTAAGTTTGTTTTGATTAGGTATGACATAAGGCAGAACATACCTGCTTAGTAAACTTACTGTCACATAATACTTAGGTGAGTAGACTGACTGAAATACACACATGGGTAATGGAAAATGAAATACCCACTCAACATTCATAATACCCACTCCCAACAAATAGTGGGTACAGTACACACATCAGCTAAATCTTATCTGGAGCTCTGAGTAGAGTTGGTGTAAGTTAACGCAACGCTCATCACAAACCAAACGTGCATTTGTTTCACTGTACAACTACTGCTCTCACCCCTTTGTAGTACAAACCAATAATAGCGATTTCAATGTATGGTAGTTTTGTGGAGATGAATAAAATTCTGAGATTTAAATATTCAGTTGGCAAAGTGAAATTATGACCATTCACAATATTAATTTCACTTTATTTGATTTACTTTTTTTCTTAAAGTGAAATTAATCAGTACGTTTACACTGCAAACAGACTATATGAAACTCATAATTTACACTCCTCTAAAATGGAAATGTTAATGTTTAGACAGAGCACAATTCTGTTACAAAGCAACCTTAAACCAATCATGTTACATTTGTTTTGGTGAGATGACTTCATAATATTGTTATCCTTCAGGAAATACGAGGAGATCTATCCACCAGATGTTGCTGAATTTGTCTACATTACCGATGACACGTACACAGCACAACAGGTAATGTGTCCTGTCTTGACTGACTGAAACATGTCCCTGCTGTAGATAATTTTCATAAGGCCAAAAAAAATGTCTGTTTCCTATTACACGCTTTTTAAAAATAGGTAGGTGGGTCGGTTTACCGGAAACAGGCATTTTTTTGCCCAATGAGCCAACATTACCAGACCTTTGTTTTCATCCAGGAATAGTGTGATGACCACTGGGGATGTTAAAATTCAGTGGTTTATTTGGTGAATCTAATCCCTTCTTGAATTCTGTTCATGATTTATCAATAAAATCGAATATTCATGATTTTTTAAAAAGTCAAACATTCTTCTGGTGTTATCAAAATGAGGTGCAAAATGGAATGTATCCAAGCCAGGGCCTAGATTTTCAAAGCTCTCTTAGTGCTAAGATAGTCGCAAGTTAATGTTATTGTATGGCACTTACGACTATCTTAGCGCTAACAGAGCTTCGAAAATCTAGGCCCTGGATAAGATGGCCAGATGGCATTGTGTACTTCACAGACAGTACAAGTCAGAGCAAGTACAAGTATGTATTTAATTTCATTGTAATGTGATCGCTGGTCATAGTGATAAATTAGCTGAAACATTGTTAGAACATGTCAAAATTTGTTGGTCTAGTGAATGTATAAAGATACATCAATTGCTCACTTGTCACATTAATATTCATTACCCGGTATTCATTATATGCACCATAGTGGACAAAATGCACTCCAAATAGCCTCTGACCAAAAGCCTTTATTTTACCAAGCTTCAAAAACATCTTTTTCCAGGTTCTACGGATGGAACACCTTGTCCTAAAAGTCTTATCTTTTGATGTAGCTGTACCAACAACAAACTGGTTCTGTGATAGATTTTTAAAAATCAGCAATGCAGATTCCAAAACTGAACACCTTACCATGGTAAGTTGCATGTTAGTAATACCTATAATCTGACTTCCCAACATCAACCAGCTATACTTTACTGCATCACAGATCGCTGGCCACACGGTTCAGTGATCCAAAGGATGTCTATAGGACATAGAAATGCATGAAATTTTGCTGTTGACCTTTTCTATTCATTTATTAATGTACTTCATCCTTGTAAACAACAACTTAACTATGCAGATACTTAATTAGAATTTTTAAAACAATCCTTAAATCTGGCATATATTAATAAAATGGTGATTGTTGAACTGGGCTACAAAGATTAAAACCAAACCTTGTTCAGTGGCTGTCTCCAGGTATACATTTGCCAAGTTGTAATGGATTGTGGAACAGCGTTCCTCGTTCACCATGACCCAAGGATTAAGACTAACTATGATTAGCTTGACACACCGTTAAAATGTTTCACTTGTTTCTTCCAGTACTTGGCCGAACTGACATTAGTTGAATGCGAGCCCTTCCTTAAATATTGTCCCAGCCTACTGGCTGCAACAGCGCTGTGCTTGGCCAACTACACTCTCGGCAAGGAGGCATGGGTATGTAAATTGTTGGAACTGATGGGGTTGCATTTTGTAATGCCAATGAGAATGTCGGCCTATATGCCAGACAACTCTGTCAACCCCTGTACAGTGGAGTTCATCTGAACATAGTTTATGTATCAACTGTAATTGTCATGTAGAATACTCTATTTTCACCCTGTGACATAGTCACTTTATCTGATTTGTACGTCAATTGGCTGTTGCAGTAGCAATACCTAATGCTAATTCATATGGTGACAAAACCATAATTACTTCTGCATTCGTCTTATTTCAGCCATCATCACTAGAAAGTCAAACAAGGTACAGCCTCACACAGCTGTCCGAAACACTCAAACACCTATACAGAACTTTCTGCAATGCATCAAGTCATCCACAGCAAGCCATCAGGGAGAAATACAGGGCACCAAAGTGAGTTTAAATGTCTGCTATCCTCAAAGTTGTCAGATTTGATTTACAATGACTGCCATTGTAATACCGTCCTAAATAAATATAAGTATTAAAGAAAACAACCATATGAAAAAGCATGGCTTTTACAACTAATGGTATAGTTAAAATAATAAAAATGTAAAGTAGTTGTGATTCGATTAATTAATTAAAAATAATCGAAGATTGGCTGCAGTGACTAAATGACCAAGCAATCGATCATGTTTTCTCATATAATCGAACACAAACAATTCTGGAACACTTGTTTTCATCTACAATATTTTTCACAAGGCTGGTTTCAAGTCATGATTGAATTTATCTTAAAGACAACAAGAAATTTATGTTCCTAACATATTACTCATCCTCTAAAGGTGTGAAATGTGCCCCAAAACATCAAAATAACTACATGTTTCCCTTATTTTTTTGTGCATCAACGAATTTCATAAATTATTTTTGATGATCGGTGGTTATGAACCAATCTACAATTATGAGATTTTAACCAATTCCCAACACTACTGTAAATAGGTCAGATATATGGCAGAAAATAGTCTTGGAATCATGTAGTTATAACTGACAGTATCACCAGAATGCCTTTTTGTATCAGATCCTTGCTGATAGGCAAGTGAACAACGGTGATAATGATTCTGGAGCTTTCTCTATCGAAAGAATATATTTTAGTTTCATAACATTTACAAAAATCAAAATAACATGCACATTTAATTGTAAATCTAAATGTTAGTGTGCAAACATGTTTTGATAGTTAAACGTCCATAAAAGAACTAAATAGGTTTAAGGATGAGATAGTGGTGTATTACACAGAAAGGTCCAAATGCTCTCCAGAGCAATCAAGCTCATGTGACAACCATCAGAAAATTTGTAGTTATACGTATAACTGGAAAGTTTAATTCACTCGGTATTCTGTGAAAGTATTTTGCATGAGATTGTAAATATAAATACAGGTCCTACAAAATTTTGCCCAAACATGTTTAGGTTTGTTTCGCTACTGTTTTCATATGCAAATCTGCTTGAAACAGTGTGAAATGTTCAAAGCACATCCTTAGTTTTTCCTCTCCCTGTGCAGTGCAAAAGTAGTAGCACTATTAAGGTCATAATCGCTAACAGCTTACGGTTTGAATAAGAGCAGACAGCACTGAAAGGGCGGCAGCCTGAAGCCCCCCAAATCATTACTAAGGACAGTTGGTCAATGAAAAACACTTAATACAAAATATGGATATTGTAACTTAAGTAAATTATATTTCCCCTTAACATACATACGTCACTAAATGTCAATGATTATCGTTTAAACATGCAGGTGAAATAACTTTATTTCACTCCAAGTTTTAGACATAGCAAAATGTTCCTACCCTTAAAGTAAAGTCATTTTACAAACATTTCTATTTAATGGAACAAGTTTTTAGGTACCTTGTTTGTTTCCTTTTATAAATTTATGGGATACTAATGTAACAATTGTTGCCATGGGAATGTTTGTGGAAGTTCACTTATTCTTTTTACATCAGTGTTTTATTGTTTTTACAAGATGTTTAAAAATGTGTTCTATCACCAATATAGCCTGTCGGTTAATGTAAATCCAGCTTAGTTGCCATTAGAAGCAGGGCTGCCAACCATTGTCCCCAGTTTGGCAACCAAACTGCCTGCTGGCATTGTGGAACGATACTAAAGGTGTGCTCTCCTTGAGTTAGTTTGAAAACAACTACCTAGCACTAACATTGGTTTTTTCCCCCCTTCCAGGTACCAACAAGTTTCATTGCTCAGCCCACCAGAGACCCTCTCCCTTGTGCCATGAAAAGGCTGCCAGTATTAACCCCCACGAGCTTTCAGAGGCCATACAAATATCATTGTACATTGTACACCATCATCTCTTCAGTGTGTTCATAGACTCTATCACGAGCCAACCCAGTTGTTTATATCCTCTTATTTAACCTTTTAGTTCATCTGGAAATTCATTTTATCAACCATGTCATGCTTGTCCGTGCAATAATGCATTTCATAATCTGGAATGAGAGAATCGGGAGTGACTGAGTGAGCGCTTGATGAAATGTGTCCTGAATGCTTTTACAAATTTACGTTTTATATGGCACTGTACATATGGCATGCACATGTAAGTTTTATTCATGAGAATTTGTTTGCATGAATTGAATCAGGTCAAACTACCCAAAATCAGGTCCTGCAATTTTTAACCCAAGATCTTAACGTAACTTTTATATATTTTTAACGACGTATGTTTTGTATGTGACATTGACTCTGAACAGTAGACATAATCACGACAAATTTCAAATTGACCTGGCTTGATGATATTCATTCAAACCATGCTCTTCCCCTTGGCTTTAACTGAATAAAACATTCCTGAATTCTTTTTATTTCGTTTTCTTAACTTACCTTCTTTTTCTGTCCATTTCCCTTTTTCATAGACCAGCTGAGGTTATCTTACTTTTCGTCTGTCCTCTGTTTCCCAACTTGTCCTACCTTTGTTCTATCAAATCTAGTGCTATTCCGACATCACCCAGTTATGGTGCATCATGTACAGTTAAGTTTCAGGAGTTAAGGAGGACCATGTACATTTTACTGTATTATTTTAGGGCATCTTATATGTAAGATGTTATGTATATCAACTGAATAAAGTGTACAAAGTATGATAAATAACTTGTTCATTCATAATTTCACACAGATTCAAACATGCTTGTATCTTTTCTCCTCTTCTCACTGCACATCTTGAATCTTTTCTGCACTTCAGATTACACTTGATTCAGAAGCGAACCATGGATACCAGACAGTTCCTGTTTGAAGGGAACAATGCCACTTGTGTAATTATAATATCTGGGCCCATCTTAAAGTGATCTTTTTGCTACAACTTGCCAATGTGTAGTAACCTTGCAGGAAGGTTTGCATACCTGATATCCAAGGCATTTCAGTTAAAACTGGCATTGCCCCGGATTAAATGTAAATCCAGGATCAGGCCCCAATTTCTCGAAACAAATTGTAAGTCTTTTACTCATATTTGAAACGCTGGAATATACATTTCCAAAATGAACAGAAATCGATTTTGAGCGCAAGCATAGTAGATAATTTGAGTTTGATGGATAGATTCAAGTTGTTTGGGCTTTTAAAAATGAATAAATTTGCAGTTGTTAATTCAACCATTTTTAAACATGTCAAACTCATTTTTTAAAGTATAGAGTTGTGTTCTGCCAACATGTAACTGTTAGTTATAACGAAGTATACTCTTGGATTTGACCAAAAACTTTCTTGATTATTTGAAAAACATATCTATCTAATGCAGGTGCATACTTTTCCCAGCAATTATTTAGAACGAAACAAGCTATGTAGTCTACCCTGGGGATAGTAAATGGTTGAGGAGAGGTCATAAGACGCTAAACTGAAAAGTGTTTTGAACATTCAGCTTTTTCATATCTGAACTTTTTGTTACCATGTTGGTGGGCATCTGTGTTAGTGGGACAATATATACTTTTCTGACGTGACTGATAGGATCGGGCATTACACGTGTCCAGGATGATCTGTACAATGTGGTTCTTTAGGAATAGAAGAATCTATAGTATTTCTGTATGTATTCTCATAGAATGGGAACAAGTGATTCTCTCGACTTGATTAAGCATACTTCTTGGAGAACTTTAATGGATTACTACTTCACATTTTTAGTCTGAACCAACAATGAGAATCTACACGAAACATTGTTCTAAAGCAATAAACAGGTTATCGAAAGTCTTTTGCTTCATTACAAAGGGAGCGGAATGATATATTAGTTATGAAACGGCTTGCACGACTTGCACGAACATCATTAAACTGTGCTAAAGTTCCTTTGTACAGTGATATACAACCTAACTCTCCATCTGACTTCATGCACCATGGCATATATTGCGCACTTTTACACCATTTTATGTGATTACTTGCATCGATATCTAGACTGGTTCAAAGATATCACTATCAGGACTAAACAAATTTGGGATCACAAAGCCTTCTGCATCTGTGTATATGTTCACTGGTAAAGGACAATCACGGCAGGTCTTGTTTTAACGTGACTTTGCTATACAGTCGAGCACGGTCGTCTTGATATTCATGGGACCAAGAAAAAAATAGTTATCCGAACTTCAAGACATCTGACCAGGGCATATCATCACAATGAAAGAAAAAAAAAACGCTTCACAGTATGTTTTGATTTGAAACTATAATCCATTATCAGTAGTGTTTAGTCGTAACAGCGAGTACTTCCTAATTAATTCCTTCTTAATTAATCCTAATTAAATAACAAACAAGTGACACCTTCGACTCAATTAGGCCTAATTACTTTACACTACCGCATCCCCTACACTACCTCATACTTGCCCATGAAAGTTAGGTGAATACCGAGTTTCTTTGCAAATATCGAGTTAAAAAGGGTAATTTTGCTTGTTAGGACCATGGAATTATATTGAGATCCGAAATATTGAGACATCCGTATTGAGTTAAGAGCTTGAATAATGATAAAATTATGAAGGATTTTCTCAGGACTGAGATGTTAAATCGAGACAACCGCGATATCAAGTTATCAGAGTTCGACACAATGGTGCTCGACTGTATTTCGGGGTCCAAGAACATCCAACTTGACACAGCCATGAGTCTCTTAGTCCAAGACCAGTGAATATCTCAACGGACAAGTTTTCAAGACACATGAGTATTGGTAAACACCACCTGAATACAAGGGCAATGCGTACAACATACCCTAGCACACTGGAACGTACATGCTTCTCTCAAAAGCTATGGGTCACATGCTCGTTCTGTGAAGGGGCCACATTGGGGATTAACTTCATACCAGTATGTGTCCCAGTTTTCTGAATTGCTTTTAAAAGACAACAGTAATAAAAATGAATATTTCTTGACATTCAGAAAATACCCAATGGCAAGTCATGCTTTGCACGACTTGGGCACGTCCGTGCTGGATCAAACAAACTACATGGTCTAGTAGTGAGGAAGCTAACTGCTATCAGTAAAGTGGAGGATCTTCCCTGAACTGGGCCCAATCAGATTGGTTCTTTAGGTTTGGTGACTATACTTTCTGGCATTGATATTCATGTTTAGTGTATTACTCTCAGATTGCAAGTAAATTGTTACCAAATTTCGATTTCAATTTTGTGTTCTATAATACATGGAATTCAAAGCACACAAATATAACATGTTTTAGAGAACCTATATTAAACAAGAAGACATGGTCATCAATAACCCCCACCACAGTGTTCTGTTCCTATTTGGTTCCTGTTTTTAACTCCACCCTGACATTCATGTCCTGAAAACACATACCACATTTGGTTTCCCTGTCTATAACAGTTACTGTGAAAATCTGTCCCCATTGGGGATACCGTACACTTAGTCAAGAAATGCATGACGGGGGCCATTAGAAATTGGGACGGAGTTTCGGACTCCAAGTCATTCATGTCTTCAAAACACCAAATTTGGTTTCCCTATCTTTAAAGTTTTATGACAAAATTTGTGCCCATCATCAGACGGAGCTCAAACCACTATCCTCCACCAACTTTGTGGCGGGGGATAAAAAATGGGTGCTGCTTCAATAATGCTCATGTATATAGTTTTATTTTGATATTTTACACGGACCACTGGTATGAATAACATACTAATATGACTAATGGTGTTCCCCCTAGATACATTTGGTGCCACAGGACATCACATGCCTGCTGCAATGTCAGTGTAGTAACAGAAAATAAGACAAACTGTCCTTTAGTATGAACTGAATTTATACAAATGATAATGTACATAGAACTCCTGGGACATTATTTCTTTTTCTTCTTTTTGCCTTTCCTGTCTGCAGACTTTTGACTTGCGGCTTGTGCTGGCGTTGTTGTGGGTCTGGGAAGAAAAAGCAACTATCTACATGGTCGTGTGACAGAAATAACATGAGAGGGGTCATCCTCAAACGTCAAAGATATTACATCCACATTCTACATTCAGCAGCTTGATGGGTCACACAGATGATAAGAGATAAAACTGACCCAAAGCATCACATTTTTAACTTACAAGAGTGCAGTTCAGTTGCATTTTGAATGAACCAGTTTATGCCACGAGTAATCTGAGCATGTGTAAAGATACCATCAAATTTGAAGAGGAACACTTTTGTGGATAGACAACTTCTTTATTTTCAAGACGTAGTCTATCCATAAAAGTGGTCTCTTTATCATACCAGCTTCTAAATGACACTAAAAGAAACCGTCAAATGTATTGGAAATCAATTGAAGCATACCTCAAGCCAGCCACCTTGGACATTTATTTCTGTGAGTTTGACCTGAATCCAGGTACTTCCATGATCTTACAAACATGGGATGCTGGAGACTTGTTCTGATGCAGGATCATCACAAGGTGATGCTCTGACAAGAGGAATGAGATTGCTGATCTAGCAACTCTCCCCCATCTAGCTGTTACCTCCCTGTTTACTTCCAGATACACACCTGTGAGTCTGTAGGTCATCATGACTCAGTGTCATAGTTGTCTCCTCTTCACTGCCACTGTCAAGGTCAATGACTGAAATGAAATAACCAAAGAATTAACATCAACAAATCACAACAGATAACTTGAGAAAACATGTGCATTTCAACAATGTGTAAGAGAGAAAGTATGAAAGCAGTGACAAGCTATCAGTTGCAGGTTAGTTTGTTGTTTAACACCACGCTTAGCTATATTTGACAACGGTCTGTAAATAATTGAGTCTGGTGGAGACAATCCAGTGGTCAACATTGTGAGCATTGAATCTATACAGTTGAGATACGATGATGTGTCAACAAAGTCACCTGAGTTGCCTCTTACAACAAGAATGGGTTGCTGAAGACCAACTGTTAAAGCCACAGGCCCGGCCACGTTTCAGCTGATTTTACAAGCACAGTTTATCATTTTACTCTAGACAGGCAACTGCTGCATAGACAATGTGAACAATAATCACCTACATCAATGTCAACATAGAACAGTCATTGCCTCTATCAAACACCAGAGGTTTCAATCACAATCTTACCTTCATGTTGGTTATCTCCCTTGCCCTGTAAACACGAGGAGGATGTGGCAGCAGCAGCAGCATCTGCCATGGCTTCTGTTGCAACATCTTCATCTATTTCCCACGTATTCTGACCTCCCTCCCCAATAGCTGCAAGACCCTTGTCCTATAACACAAAGTTAAAACATGACTGACAGACCTTCATTCAGCCATCATAGACTTACACTCTCCATTTGCCGTTCCTCAATTTTTTTTATTGCTACAATGTTTGGAAGCCTTGTAATGGTATAGGAGTTACATCTCAGCGCTGAGATCACTTTCTGGAGCAGGGCTCAAATAGACAAATGGTCATAACTTTTTCTTGGATGACATGAGACATAACATTAGCAGTTTAAACAATTAATGATTTTTGTCATTGGCGAGAAACACCCAAGCCTGGAGTGAAATGTGATTAGATTGGTTGGTTGGATTGTTGTTTAATGCTGTAACAACAAGCTCAGCTCAGAACACAAATTTAAAAAGCAACAGGAAAAGTGCAATTGTTTCTATTCACATGGATTAGTTGGAAAGAATAATGAAAATGAAAATATTCAAATTAATAAGACATTCCTTGTTATAGGTTATACTGAAAACACAAATATTGACTACAGTGTAAGCTGAAAAAGTTATACTCACCAGAATTTTGACTTCAACACTATCCTCCGGTCTGAAAAGTAACAAGACTGAAATTAACGCTACAAGACGCATCACTGCTGTTGCTTACATTCTTCAGCAAACACCCCAACTGTAGACCCAGACACTATAGTGTACAGTACAGTACACTTAGCACGTCATACAAGTACTGTGGGCTTACAGAAGACCCGGAGTTTGCTAATATGGCAGTAATGTGGAGTCACAGTAGATACGTAGACGGTATGATCTGCTTTTAGTAAGAGCAAATAGTAGTGTATGAAACTCCAGAAATTTGTATCAGACCACAGTGGTGATAAGACCTACCAGCCCCAATGAAAGCCAACCAGTCGTATCAACATTGACTAAAGGCTGACTGACTGAGTTTGGTTTTACGCCGCTTTTAGCAATATTCCAGCAATATCACGGCGGGGGACACCAGAAATGGGCTTCACTCATTGTACCCATGTGGGGATTCGAACCCGGGTCTTCGGCGTGACGAGCCAACGCTTTAACCACTAGACTACCCCACCGCCCCTGACTAAAGGCAAACCCAGCATTGTTTAAATCCAATCAAGAGTCTGATTGGCTCATTTGTAGTTCACATAAGTAAACTCACTTGGCTTGGTGTTTGTTGTAAGTCACTGCTACGAAGTGTGGATCAGCCAAAAACTAATTAATGTCTTCGACACTGTTCATAGGAAATTGTTTTAAACAATAATAGAGCGAAAATAAAATATTATTGTTTGAATATTAACCTGTCTGTTGGTCAGGTAATTTTTTCATACCTGATTCTTAGTTATGGCCTTCACAGAAAAAAGATGCTCCTTAAAAACTAACCTGACAATCTGTATGTCATCGTCACTACTGTGAGAAGTATCCGCCATCTTGTCTGAATCATGTTCCTCCATCTCCACGTCCTGGTGGTCAGTCTTGGTACTGGTTATTTTCTTCGGCTCCACTGATTCAGCAAAGCCACATTTCTCTCCTGATGTCCTGTCACAGAATCAGGCTGTTAGTGGCAGTGCTCAATACATGTAACATATTCCAGAGTGAGTGAGTTTAGTTTTACGCCGCACTCAGCAATATTCCAGTTATATGGCGGCGGTCTGTAAATAATCCAGTCTCCACCAGACAATCCAGTGATCAACAGCATGAGCATCGAACTGAGCAATCGGGAACCGATGACATGTGTCAACCAAGTCTGCGAGCCTGACCACCCGATCCCGTTAGTTGCCTCTTACGGCAAGCATAGTCGCCTTTTGAGGCAAGCATGGGTTGCTGACGACCTATTCTACCCCTGATCTTCACAGGTCTAACATATTCCAGAATATTGATGGCATTTGTCGGAATCATTAATACTCCAGCATATTTCTAAATACTGAACTTAAAACTGAACAAAAAACTCAAGTAAATTGTTGAATAACTTTTGCAAGCTTCAACATATTGCTGAATAGTGATGTCACACTTCTGCATATTGCTGAATAGTGATGTCAGACTTCTGCATATTGCTGAATAGTGATGTCATACTTCTGCATATTACTGAATAATGATGTCATACTTCTGCATATTGCTGAATAGGGATGTCACACTTTTGCATATTGCTGAATAGTGATGTCATACTCCTGCATATTGCTGAATAGTGATGTCATACTTCTGCATATTGCTGAATAGTGATGTCACACTTCTGCATATTGCTGAATAGTGATGTCATACTCCTGCATATTGCTGAATAGTGATGTCATACTTCTGCATATTGCTGAATAGTGATGTCATACTCCTGCATATTGCTGAATAATGATGTCACACTTCTGCATATTGCTGAATAGTGATGTCACACTTCTGCATATTGCTGAATAGTGATGTCAAACTTCTGCATATTGCTGAATAGTGATGTCACACTTCTGCATATTGCTGAATAGTGATGTCATACTCCTGCATATTGCTGAATAGTGATGTCATACTTCTGCATATTGCTGAATAGTTAAGCCAAACTCATCATACTGTGCAATAGCTTTGTCAAACTCCAGCCGGTTGCAGGTATTTTACTGACCATGAATGGCATACACAGCAACATATCTTCTTACTCTTTCAACTGACCTTGCTACTCTGTCATTCTCCAGGGCCTTTAGGATGAGTTCTGATATTTCTGTTACCTTGACAACTGCTATATTTGAACATCTTAACACCTGCAGAATGAAAAACAAAAACCACTGAAAAAAGAAAGTAAATAAAGTGCGAAAGAGAGAAAAAAAGCGATATAGAGACAGACTTTTGTGCTTTTTTGTTTTATGCTGCTTTTAGCAATATTCCAAAAATATCACCGCGGGGGACACCAGAAATGGGCTTCACACATTGTACCCAGGTGGAGAAACAAACCCAGATCTTCGGCATGACGAGGAAATGCTTTAACCACTAGGCTACTGTCCTCGAGAGAGAAAGAGTTAACATACAGCTCAACACCACTTTTAGCAATATTCCAGCTATATCATGGGGGTGGGGTACACCTTGGGGAATAGAACCCAGGTATTACAAGGAGTTGCCAATGGTTTGAGGATCTTCTGTGACATGAAGTAATTAACACTTAACACATCCTTACTGCATGCCAGCTTCATGTAAACAGAAAACCTATAGTGATACAAGTCCTACATGTGACGAACCCAAGCATAGGTGCTGACAAACCAAGGATCATACTTTTGGATCTCAAACCAAGATAATAGGTGCCTGGTATTGCAAAGGGAGGCAATCCTGCATATCCTTGTCAACATAGCAAACAAAACAAGCACCTGTTCCTTGAGAAGCAGCATTTCTCCAGTGATCTGCAGCATACAGATCTCCCGATGTTTGTTCATCCCGATCACCATCTTCCCATCCATCACCTTTTCTTCCACCAGACTTGGGTCTACCAGCAGGTGCTTGCTGGCAAAGTATGGCAAAACATGTTTCAATACTGTTTCACAAACACATACAGAAACAGTTGCTAACCATACAGTGAAACAATATCTGATTCTGCTTCAGGAATAGAACTAACCACCCCTGTACGGTCACCACAAGAATAAATATGTACATGTGGCCTAGCCAAATATACATGGTCAACCCCTGTACAAATGACCCACCTCTGAATATTCGAACTACCTCTGAACACAAGACCTACCTCTGAACACATGACCCACCTCAGGATACATGACCCACCTCTGAACACACGGCCTACCTCAAAACACATGACCTACCTCAGGATACATGACCTACCTCTGAACACATGACCTACCTCTGAACACATGACCCACCTCTGAACATATGACCCACCTCAGGAAACATCACCTACCTCTTAACACATGACCCACTTCTGAACACATGACCCACCAATGAACATGTGACCCACCTCTGAACACACGAACTATCTCTGAGCACATGACCCACTTCTGAACACATGACACACCTCTGAACATATGACCCACCTCAGGATACATGACCCACCTCTGAACACACGAACTATCTCTGAGCACATGACCCACTTCTGAACATGTGACCCACCTCTGAACACACGAACTATCTCTGAGCACATGACACACCTCTGAACATATGACCCACCTCAGGATACATGACCCACCTCTGAACACACGAACTATCTCTGAGCACATGACCCACCTCTGAACACATGACACACCTCTGAACATATGACCCACCTCTGAACACACGAACTATCTCTGAGCACATGACCCACTTCTGAACACATGACACACCTCTGAACATATGACCCACCTCAGGATACATGACCCACCTCTGAACACACGAACTATCTCTGAGCACATGACCCACTTCTGAACATGTGACCCACCTCTGAACACACGAACTATCTCTGAGCACATGACACACCTCTGAACATATGACCCACCTCAGGATACATGACCCACCTCTGAACACACGAACTATCTCTGAGCACATGACCCACCTCTGAACACATGACCCACCTCTGAACATGTGACCCACCTCTGAACACACTAACCTCTGAGCACATGACCCACCTCTGAGCACATGACCCACCTCTGAACACATGACCCACCTCTGAACATGTGACCCACCTCTGAACACACTAACCTCTGAGCACATGACCCACCTCTGAGCACATGACCCACCTCTGAGCAAAAGGCCTACCTCTGAACACATGACCCACCTCTGAACATATGACCCACCTCAGGAAACATCACCTACCTTTGAACACATGACCCACCTCTGAACATATGACCCACCTCAGGATACATGACCCACCTCAGGATACATGACCCACCTCTGAACACACGACCTACCTCTGAACACACGAACTACCTCTGAACACACGACCTACCTCTGAACACATGACCCACCACTGAACACACGACCTACCTCTGAACCCATGACCTAAATCTGAACATGACCCACCTCTGAACACACGACCTACCTTTGAACACACAAACTACCTCTGAACACATGACCCACCTCTGAACACATGACCCACCACTGAACACACGACCTACCTCTGAACACATGACCTAAATCTGAACACATGACCCACCTCACGATACATGACTTACCTCTGAACACACGACCTACCTCTGAACACATGACCTAAATCTGAACACATGACCCACCTCACGATACATGACTTACCTCTGAACACACGACCTACCTCTGAACACATGACCCACCTCTGAACACATGACCCACCACTGAACACACGACCTACCTCTGAACACATGACCCACCTCTGAACACATGACCCACCTCTGAACACATGACCCACCACTGAACACACGACCTACCTTTGAACACACAAACTACCTCTGAACACATGATCTACCTCTGAACCCATGACCTAAATCTGAACACGACCTACCTCTGAACACATGACCCACCTCTGCACACACGACCTACCTTTGAACACACAAACTACCTCTGAACACATGACCCACCTCTGAACACATGACCCACCACTGAACACACGACCTACCTCTGAACACATGACCTAAATCTGAACACATGACCCACCTCTGAACACACGACCCACCTCTGAACACATGACCTACCACTGAACATGTGCCCTACCCTTGTACGCATGCCCTACCATTCTACTAATGACCTTCCCTTGCAAACACGTCAAACCCTTGTACACATGACCTATATTCCTAACTGTGACCTACCCTTGTGTGAAGAAAGCGAATGTGCAGCATATGGGCATATGGTGCACGCTAAGGGGTACCGGGTCTCTCTCCTCTGGGCTGTGCTGAAACACACCGTATAAAACATGTTACTCTCACTGAAATACACCATGGTGGCATAATGTAGTCAGTATTGATTCCAACACCATCAGCATCAGTCCGGCATCATATTGCTATTCACACATGCTGATTTATGAAACAGTGATCTTGTCAGAGTCAGCAATATGTCAGCCCTACCAGTGGTGGGTATAGTCGACACTGTGAAGGTCCAGCTATATCATTAGACTCCGGCAATTATCCAGTGGGAGGAGGCCGACATCTAGTCAGGCCTGGTACAGACGAACCCACGGCTGTACCGTACACCTCAAGTTGTATCATCAGGCAATATCAAAGAGGAATGACTCGGCAAAGAATGCGCTATTACAGTGAGTGAATATATATCAACAATTGTAAACCCATACCACATATTCTTTGTTTGAATCCATGTTTCTGTCACAGTCTCCAATATTCCAGCTATAACACAATAGTCTGTGGATGATCAAGTCCAGGCAAGGATGCCACGACCTGTCACAGTCTCCAATATTCCAGCTATAACACGATAGTCTGTGGATGATCAAGTCCAGGCAAGGATGCCACGACCTGTCACAGTCTCCAATATTCCAGCTATAACACAATAGTCTGTAGATCATCAAGTCCAGGCAAGGATGCCACGACCTGTCACAGTCTCCAATATTCCAGCTATAACACAATAGTCTGTAGATCATCAAGTCCAGGCAAGGATGCCACGACCTGTCACAGTCTCCAATATTCCAGCTATAACACGATAGTCTGTGGATGATCAAGTCCAGGCAAGGATGCCACGACCTGTCACAGTCTCCAATATTCCAGCTATAACACAATAGTCTGTAGATCATCAAGTCCAGGCAAGGATGCTATAACACGACCTGTCACAGTCTCCAATATTCCAGCTATAACACAATAGTCTGTGGATGATCAAGTCCAGGCAAGGATGCCACGACCTGTCACAGTCTCCAATATTCCAGCTATAACACGATAGTCTGTGGATGATCAAGTCCAGGCAAGGATGCCACGACCTGTCACAGTCTCCAATATTCCAGCTATAACATAATAGTCTGTGGATGATCAAGTCCAGGCAAGGATGCCACGACCTGTCACAGTCTCCAATATTCCAGCTATAACACAATAGTCTGTAGATCATCAAGTCCAGGCAAGGATGCCACGACCTGTCACAGTCTCCAATATTCCAGCTATAACACAATAGTCTGTGGATGATCAAGTCCAGGCAAGGATGCCACGACCTGTCACAGTCTCCAATATTCCAGCTATAACACGATAGTCTGTGGATGATCAAGTCCAGGCAAGGATGCCACGACCTGTCACAGTCTCCAATATTCCAGCTATAACATAATAGTCTGTGGATGATCAAGTCCAGGCAAGGATGCCACGACCTGTCACAGTCTCCAATATTCCAGCTATAACACAATAGTCTGTGGATGATCAAGTCCAGGCAAGGATGCCACGACCTGTCACAGTCTCCAATATTCCAGCTATAACACAATAGTCTGTGGATGATCAAGTCCAGGCAAGGATGCCACGACCTGTCACAGTCTCCAATATTCCAGCTATAACACGATAGTCTGTGGATGATCAAGTCCAGGCAAGGATGCCACGACCTGTCACAGGACCCCGACCACCCCAACCAGCTCATCCCTTGCAACAACAAATAGGCGTTTCTGAGCCTACTCTAACCAGGTTCCAGGGTGGTCTCACACAATAGGCAATCAAGCAGATCAAACTGTGACACCAATCTGTGTTTTGGTATGGGGTACTCAAGACCTGGATCCTACATGTTTAATATATTCTTACAAACAATTGTCCGAGATGCAATCTTGAGAGTTACTGTCCTTTGGCCATTCATAAGCAAAATGAAAGTTGAGGGTTACTTCCCCCTAGTCACCAATCAGCAAGGTGACAGTTGAGAGTTACTGCCCCTTGTCCGCTGTGACCATTTAATGACAAACTACCAAGGAACCCTTAGTCTTGTAGAGGATTGTACTTTGATGAAATATTTTTGCACAAGAATATCAGTTGCAACAAGCTGGTGACATTACCTCTAACAAACATGGTAGTATCAGTTAGAGGCCAACCAGTCATTTTATCAGGGTTTATATAGATAGTTACGGGACAAATTATGGGACACGTGTAACAAGTAAATTTGTGGAGATTTGCCCATGACATGTTATTTTGGAGACGGAAGAGTCGAGCGAGATGTAACTGGGTAATGCAAATGAGCATAATGGCTAACAATCATATCCAATAGTGGAGAAGATATCACAACTCGTGCTGGGTGTAAAAGGTACACACAAACGATGTGAGAATTGGGAGATTATGTGGGAACTACAAAATATATAGTCTGGACATAGAATGGACCTGTTTGACATCATTATAGTCAGTTTCCATTCAGTGAATCATACAGATTATTATTTTTTAAGTTTGTAAACTTTACTAAGATACTAAGGGAATTTGAAAATAATGTTGATACATATGACTTCTCCACACATATCATAGAGAATACACATCTGAAGGCTGCACCCATGGTGGTTTATTCTCCCAGGGGACTTTTACTGTACAACAAACAATCTTCTCATTGGATATTTTGTAAATACAAGAACATAGTCTTCCTTCTTCGTGTGTGAGTATAGTTTTACACTGCTTTTAGCAATATTCCGATGGGGACACCTTAAGCACTAGGGTAAAAAAAACCACACACCCACACACACACCCACCCACACAACACCTAGGCTAAACACACACACACACACACCTAGCTAAACACACACACCTCTTCAAGCATTAACGTACAAATACCTACCACTGTGACCTCCTCCCCTGAAACTGTCACATCCGGACGTCTGAAACATGCAAAATTGATATAAATTGCAACTTATTCCATACATAAGTTAAGCAACGTCCCTGTACAGTTTCCATGCACCTCATTAGGCTACACCCACTATTGGACTTCATCTCCTGGTGTTGATTAAGAACGGGTGGATTGTGTCACATGATATTGTTTTGGTTGATGTCACTGATTTTGTCAACAGTTGTTTGTTGTTGATGGCTGAATGTCTCCATTAATAATAAGGCAACTTGTGTGGTCCTGAACTCCACATCACACATCAACACCCGCATACAACATTATCAGGGTTTTACATAGCTCTTCGAAACTGGGAGTCCTGAGGACTCAGGGCATATTTTTTTGAGAGTCCATTTCCAAAATTGGGGGTCCATCAATTTGCATTAAATCAATGATAATGAATGCTTCCCATTTGATAATGATTATGTTAAGATATGTGTTACTTTCAATGTTATTAGAATAATGATTGCAAATAGAATGTTTATATTTTAATACAGGATATCACCACAAACTCAGAAAGTTCTTTCCCAGAAAAAAATTATATTGCGTCCATAAGGACGTACAGGAGTTTAGTTTGGGGGTACTTCACCAAATTTCTGCGTCCAATACGCAGGAATATTGCGTCCCGTAAAACCCTGCATTATGGACATTGTTACCCCAGTTAACCCAAGCTGCCTGTGTGGCACTAGATGGTTAGTAGTCCCACCAGGTACCCATTTACTGCTGTGTGATCAGAGGCAATTTTGAAGTCCGAGAAACTCTCAGGAGTCAAGCTGCCAAACATGGTCACCCATCCAAGGACACTCGATGACCAATGTTGCTTAACTTCACCTCACTGTGGCCTGGGCTCTTATGCAGAAGACCACACACAAACACATATCTTATTATCTATCCACTCTCTAATATTATTGATACATATACATACCAGCACTGACTTCACATATATTTCATGGTGGAATTTCACAAACTGTGCATATCATCTTTTAATGTTTATACACCATAAATGCAAAATATATTAAGTTCAGTTCTCAAACATCATATCTGTATTTGCCAAAGATCAAACCACATTGGGTGTTTTGACACACTTACTTTCATATCAATACATATCGCGATACAATATACAATACGTATTGCAAAACAAAATCAGTGAATTTTTAAATAAGACTCTCAAATTACACTTTCCCAAATAGTTTTATCCAGTCATATTTTGTAATTCTTTGATATGCCTTTAAGTAATGCTAAGCCAAGCTATCAACTGACCAGGAGCATCTCATAAAGTTTTCATAATGACTGACATGCCTCCACAGAGCTGTTTCTGGGGCTACTTACACCGATGTTAAAACTGCAATTGTAAACCTCATGTTGTCTTCTATATGGCCTGCACCAAAATCATATCACTTTGGGACAAAAAGGGCCATGACTGACAAGTACCAAATACTGTTTGTTTAAAGCATGAGTTCAGCCTACCTGAAGTGAGTGATGGCAGCAATGGCTGCAACACTGGCAGCATCCAGCAGGTTCCCTTCATAGTTGAGAGCATGGATGTCTACCCGGATAGCCCACACCTGCAACCCCAACAAGACTGACTGACTGACTGAGTTTAGTTTTACGCCGCTTTTAGCAATATTCCAGCAATATCACGGCGGGGGACACCAGAAATGGGCTTAACACATTGTGCCCATGTGGGGAATCGAACCCGGGTCTTCGGGGTGACGAGCCAACGCTTTAACCACTAGGCTACCGCACCACCACCACCCCCAACAAGACGTGGGTAACAGACTCGTCCACTCAGGACAAAGTTGGCATGCCTCATACCTGCATGAGCATCAAGACATGAGCAATAAACTCGTCCCCTTTGAGACAATGTACCTTCTCTCCGGCCACGATACACAGGGACTCTGTGTCGACACAACGGGACTCCTTCAGGCACCGCTCCAGAAGACGGGTGAGCTCCACACCAAACTCAGATGGCCTGTAATAGAGGATTGTGCGCATCTTACAATCAGACCAGATCTCATGCTAAATGAACTCAGTACTACTGTACAGCCTGTTGTCAGCCTATTTTCAAGTTTAACTCAACTTTAAGGGTTTCGTTTAATCTTTAGCTAAGATTGCTTGGTGGAAGGAGGACCAGATTGGATTCAAAATTGATAAAATAGAAAAATTGAATGATAGATGGACTATGTATTGAAAAAGGAGTATTGTAGAAATGTACTTGTGGCATGATCATGATGAGATTTTCACAACTTTGTTATCATTCATCCCTCAAAGTGATCTTATTCCTGAGATTGGCTTTCTTTCATACCTCCCAATTTCAAAACCTGGTGAAGCCATGGGAGATAACTCCACATTGACAAATAGAACTCCATCTGTTGGCCGTGTGGGTTTTGGTTCTGTGATTTCACATGACACTTGAGCTAAAACCCTGAAAAGAAATAAAACACACTTCATATAATCTGTATTTGTCTGCAGGTACAAATAAAATCCCAGCTAATAACTATTAATTGGGTTTCTTTCACAATGAATTATTATCCAGTAGTACTGTTGATGGTGAATATAATCATGGATTTGGTATATTATGTTTTTTAATCAGTATGTCAACAAGTCATACATATTCAGTAACCATGGTAACTGTTGTGCTCTTACTAGTTTCCATAGAAACATAATCAATCAGAATATGACAACCAATGATCCATGAAAAGGGCATCATGTACATTCCCTAGAGTTATGTCAATTAGCTCCACTAATGAGTCATATCTACTTTGCTCCTGGTAAAAATACAGATAAGTAACGACAACCCTTAACCCAAATCAATCAAAAGTCCCTTGATAAGCATCAACAAACAGAAAATCTAATCACTGTTATCAATGAATGAAATTGACAGTACATTTCTACATAATACAACATGCGAAAAAATGATTGAAAAGGGATTGTCAACCTCACCTCATAATAGAACAATTCTGTTGGTTTTTCTAATAGAAATATCTCTCCAAAGTAAACAAATACAAACGCCACCAATATGTCTGTTACCGGTAACAATCATTAAAGGTCACATGCAACCAAAAAATCAAACATAATTAAAACACAATTATCACTTCTTCATGACATATAATATGCATAGCTGATTATGAAAAAACAAATAAACAAAATTATAAGCGTATAATCGCAAATCAAAAGTGCAATATTTTGTACTTGGGTTTACCTCCCTCGAAACGAAGCAGCCGGGATACCGAACCCAGTCAGAGCGGGTGGGTGTGCACTCAAGTGTAACGGCTGGTTCATTAGCAGATGACGCCTTCAGGCCTCATATTGTGTGTGTATATAGAGATGTTGGGTTTTGTAAATACATGCTCATTTTTTGTGTATAACATTTTGCAATCAACAGACATCATAACATGTCATTTGTTCAAGTATCACACCTGCCTGTCTGTGTAATTACATAATGTGACAGAGACCGAACTCGGGCCATAAATCAATGCGTTTTGTTTATGGTGTATAGCCTGATTGGTGTTAAGTTCAAATTGCATGTGGTCAGTGATTGCAGTTGTGTATTGAATATTGTCATTAGCAGACAGGCAGGCAGACACATAGGTGCCAATAAAACAAGACATTGAGTTTTGTCTGTGACAGCGACATATCTATATCACAGTTAGAAACTGTGTCAGCGCTAAATAATGACATTGCTTTTAAGTATCGAACTGAAAGCGTCACCGGTAAGAAGAGCGTGTGGTGAAATAGACAAATGAAATTATATAAACAGTTAATTTACTGTCATAACATATAAAAAGCTCGCGCCTGTGACATATCAAAAACATTAGAAAAATAGCTCACACCAAGGCCTTCACCGAGTATTCACCCGACAACCCGCTTCCAAGCTGCGCGAACCTATTTACTTGAGCACGTGCTATGGGCGCAGCCCAGCTGTTGAAACCCGTTTCCCCAGAAATCTCTGGGGAAAATTAGTGAAACGTTTGAACTCTGATTTCGCGCGTTTTTTTCATCGCGTTATTTTTCAACTTTATAAGTTGAATTTGCATTTTTGACTATTTGTTTCGGTATGTCCATACCGAAAGGTATCAGAATCTGCAAAGTTGTGTTTTACGTTGCATGTGACCTTTAACAATAACGGGTTGGGGAAGGTGAAACACTTAAAACTTGTATTAAATAATAAAAACTTGATAATTTATTGATGAGTATTTCTGATTAGATACAGATGTGATAGATTCAAATATGGAATGTGACACATCATACTAAGTTCTCTCTTGAGATTTACCTTGTGTCTCCTAACTGAACTTGACAGCAGCCTCGATCGACTCCAAATGATATCTTTACTTTCCTGTAATCGTATGCTTGTCTTCCATCAAATCTCTGCAAAGCAATGAAGTGACAAAGGGCAATTAAGTTACTGAGCCTCAGTTAGCTTTATATCACATCAATCATGACATTCCGTAAATTAGTAAATCAGTTTGGTGATACCACTGCTTTTAACATTATTTCAGTCATAGCATGGTACGTCAGCTGAATATGATAATGTCGGAGAAAAGATTCAAGTGATGCAGGTGATACTTTCAGTGAAACCTATAATTGTGGTTATGTCACTGCCAAAACTACACACTTAAGCAGGGTGAATCTCAGATTTGAATCCATTAACATAGGTTTCTGGCAAACCAAAATCAAGGCTGGATCACACAGACAGAATAATATGATGGTATGATAATTGATCCATAGTAATGCTTAAAGGGATGATGAAACACAGCATCCCATGATCATTATACCTGCTAGAAACACTAAGAATTGCATTGGAACTAGAACTGGTTATTGTTATGGGGTTGTAGTCAATAGGGCCAAAGGACAAAATGGCCAAAATTGGAAAAGTTAAAAGGGCCAAAGATTTAAGTCATAAGGGACATAGATCAAATTCAAATAAGAACATACAAACTAATTCATATTTTATAAGTTTTATTATTTTTTTGTCAATATGTAGTAAGGGATCGTTCATAATTTATGGCTAAGGGGATGATGATGATTTTTGTAGAGATCTGTGTACAATGTGAAAGGAAAGTAAGTGACCCCCCTGCATGACATGTACAAAATCAATGACATCTGGCCCTCCTTCCCATAATTTAAAGCATGATTCCTTTTAAATCATTAGGATTAGAACTACTACAAAACATGTAATGAATTTCTCCTAATCTTACTATTTTCTAAAAGTTTGGCCCTTTTGACTTAAATCTATGGACCTTTTGACTTTCCCTTGGCCCTTTGACATCTTGAGCTCTTTTGACCTTTTTAATTTTAGCGCTTTTGTCCTCTGGCCCTTTTGACCCATTCCCTTGTTCTGGATGCTGTTACATATCCATAACATAAGCCTTCATGCTGACATTGTTTGAATGTTATCATTTTATTTAAGTTATAATCATATTTCCTAGAAGATGATAACATATACATTACTTTGTAAAGAAATCAGGTATGGCTGAGACTAGTCCAGCATATACCCTCATGTCATGGGTTTCCGTGGTATTAAGACATTTACGACTATGAATCAATCGCTCATATTGCCAAGTCATATAAACACAACTGGTGTTAGATGACATACCTTCGTATCATTTAATGTCTATAAAACACTTTTGTCATTCTGAAGTTCATTGTTGTCGGTATCGGACGACAGGCGGCAATTGTGCACAAAATCTGGTGATGTCATATGCTTTCATGGTATTTCCTACAGATCAAATTACGGGTGCACAACACATGTCACAATCTCACACATTTTCAACAGCCAATCCGGGGGAGTGTCAATGTAGGTTTACAGTAATAATAAAGTTGAAAAATAGTAATACAGTACACGTTTTTGTAGAATTAACACAATAGTCACATTTCTTCAGCATAAATTTCCAGTTCATAAAATATGTAGAGTTGATCAACGTGAAATGAAAAGTGAAAAAACAACTTAAGAGATGACACTATCAGGATTCCATAGTTTAAAAAATAGAGCTGGGATTCCCCCCTTAGGTCACGTGATTCTTTTTATTGATGACATCAGCTTGCAGACGAGCGATGTTTGGAAAACTTTGAAGCTGAATAAGTTTATAGAATATGTTTGCAAAGATCGCACAAAAAGTGCATTACGTGCTAGACATAAAGTTGTAGGAAGGCGTTTCCTATTCTCGCGGTACTTACGGATATCGGCTGAAAAAATAACATAAACAATTCTTATCGTATGAATGCTTGTTGTTTTTAAATGAAGGGCCTTCTCCTCTAGCATCTACATCTATCAGCTGCCAGATCCATCAGGTGAATTACCACTCGTGAGCCCGGTGATAAACAATGCCATCCGCCATTGACGAAATGAGGCTTCTCCTATTCTCGCGGTATTACCAGGAATTAACGTTATTGAGTGTATGTAAGAGTCATCCTGCCGGAAAGGGCGGGAAAAAGTAATGATATGTCCAAGTTGGTATAAACTCCCAAATATTCGTGACACTGCAAGATTTTGATTATTCACCGACTTGTAAACAACCGCTAAGTGTCACGCATCAGCGATTTCGGCAGAAAACGTATTTACCGCGAAAATAGGAAACCCGCGAGAATAGGAGACGGACCTATATTAGTTTTTAATAGTAGATGACTGTACGTAGTACGTACGCAAATTGATGAAAGTCTAAACAAGTTGTGCTCAGAGCCGTGCCGATCGACTGATGGATGTAAACAATCGATAGGTGGGGCGATTTGGTGAGTGGCTCGTGAGAATTTATGTCATTAGAAAATACCACGGAATCATATGACGGCATGGTAACTAGACGACTTGCACAAGTGTGCTCGCCAACTCGATATGTAGGCCTTGCCTGGAATATGAGCTTATTTATATGAATTAGGCTGTCACAGCCACCAGCGTAACGTGACTACATATTCAATGCTTGATATACATAGTTCCAGGCCTAACGATATCAATTCATCGCATTGCTGTGAACCATGTTCAATCCTGGCGAAATGAAGTTACTGTTTACACGAGAATAATTGGAAACATTTAGAATTTCAATTTACTAGTAAACAACCTTGTGCTCGGTGATTGCTTTCAAAATGAATTCTCTTTCACAGTTTGATAATGGTGTTTCCCGCATTGTAATCCTTTGATGGTAACATACACTGTTTTAGTTTTAAATCATGTGTTTTAGGATGAAGAAAGAAGTCATTGCCATGTGCACTCCAACAACTTCCTGTTTTGACTGTGAACGCCCTCTATTGGTGATACTAGGGGAGATAACTGTTTACTTCCTCATGCTCTGTTGCTGTCATCTTGTAATATGTGATTCATGCCAATCCCGTGATTATGTGAAACATGGTTTGATATTTCAAACACAAAACTAGACTCAGACATCAAGGGGAATTACTTTCCTTTTGGAAATGGCGGATGCACAAGATATGACCGATTTTGGCCGCCCCAGTCGAGGTAAGCAGCCTGTTTAACATGGCCTCACTGGCAAGTGCTCCAGTGACCACAGACGTATTATTCATGAACACTCTGTGCAAACCTGACGAGTTGAGAAAATGTTGTATTACATATAAAGGATATAAATACATAATTTGTGTTGAAACGAATAATGACATTGTATTGATGTGTTGTAATGTGTATATTTATATTCGTATATGCGTCACTAAGGAGTAGAACTAGAAAAGTTAATTATGAGAAAATTACTGTTAGAAATAATAATTAACTATGAAAGGTTTTCCATCAATTTTGTAATTACTGTGATGAGGTCATTTAATTATGTTGCTCCGCTGTCTCTCCACATTCCTATATTACCTTAACAGCAACAACAATCTACAGAATAGAATTTGTATAGAGTTACGCAATATCATTAGGCCTTTATGCCATGAATGACTTCATAATTACTTCAATACCTGCAGTGTACTGCTGTGGTATATTGGGGTAACATTTGATTTCTTAAATAATGTTATGTACACACTGAATTGGAGTTTCAAGCAAAACGCCATTTATATATATTTTTTGCACCCATTTTATACCTGAAAACTGATTTTTGGTAATCTGTGTTGAACCATAAAATTATGTACATAATTGATTGAATGTCAGATGACAGGATTCTTTTCCTTGTCAGCTATGTTACTCTGACTAGTCATTTGATAGTAATGTCTGTTGCCTTAGGCTGGGAACACTAAATTACAGATTGTCATTGACTGCTCTCTTGTAAATACTTCATAATGGAATTCCACTCTGCCGACAAAACTGAAAATCAATAGCTAGTATGAGACTTTTCAATTAACAAATGTTAGATCAAAGGTTATTATTTTGGCACCCTATATTTTTGGCAAGAATCTGTCAGTCATTCAAGACATTCAAGATTCTGGGCTGGACCAATACTTCTAGACCCTCATTCTTGACCATACTGGCTGATTTGAAGGCCAGTCAGGCACTCTGATCTGAGATGGCTGATCATTTTCATGTACCTTTAGGCATGGTTTGTTGGTTTAAGTAACTGGTTTGTCTGGCATAGACTTGATTAGTTAAAACATGCCAATATACTGAACTGGGGCGTTGGGGTAGCCTAGTGGTTAAAGCGTTTGTTTGTTGTGCCAAAGACCTGGGTTTGATTCCACACACAAGTACAGTGCGTGAAGCCCATTTCTGGTATCCTCTGCGTGATATTGCTGAAATATTGCTAAAAGTGACATAAAAACTGAACTCCCGCAATGTACTGAACTGGAAAAATACAGAAAATGGTGTATAGAACTTCACTCGCTACCATTCCAACAGTCATCCATTGTCCCTTCTTACACACATTTTGTACAATGAATTGTTCCATTATTGCATAGCAATGATCCCCAGTACTCAGCTTCTGGACGTAGTTGCTCCAATATCCGCTCAAGTTGGTACTTGTGGAGCTCCATTAGTTAGTACACTGATCAATAGCCCAGTGTGCAACCCATGTTAATTCTCTTCTCCCTGGGGAGTATCATACATGGCTATTGATGGCATCTTGTAACTGGGTTTGTGCTTCACTACCTAATGGCTATGTTCACTTACACTTCAGTAGAGATCCAAATATAGAATGTTGTATGAAACTGGACATTCTGTCTTAAGTGTTTGAGGGTATGTTCATGAAATATTTCCTGAGAAAGAAAATTGTATTTGAACTACTTTATTTAAAATTGATAAGACTGACAAATATTTCTTACTTCATGTAAATGTATCTATATATGAAATGGATTCCTCTTTAAATTCCAGTATGGAAATGATTTAAATATCTATTTGAAATTATAAATATTATTATATAGACATCAACAGAGAATGTCAGTGAGAAATATATAGAACAAATCATATCAATGCAAAATGTTGCTCTTGGCAACCGTTCTATATTTAGGGGTGGTGGGGTAGCCAAGTGGTGAAAGTGTTCGCTCGTCACACCGAAGACCCAGGTTTGATTCCCCACATGGGTACATTGTGTAAAGCCCATTTCTGGTGTCCCCTGCTGTGATATTGATGGAATATTGCTAAAAGAGGCATAAAACTGAACTCACTCACTCACTTTCTATCTATTAAATATTATATCCTGTTTGTTGGAATCTGGTCGGATCTGAGCAGACACAGCTGTGTTTGAAGTTATGTCTGCAGAAGCCATTATGCTGGACCATGCCCCATTGTGATAACTGATGATTACTGACCTGCAGACGCCTCTTGCACATGATGCAGATTGACTTCCAAGAACAGACTCAGAAATAAACATAAGAATGAAATTGAATACTGGCATCAAGATTTAAATTTCATCAATGCTAATTCATATTCTGAAATGTTATTGTACTGAATATTTAGAGTGTTTGTTTTGGTTTATATTTTACGCCAGGTTTGAAAACTATGAATCGCTCCAGTTAACATCTATATGTCTATGCTGTTCTGGATGTTTGGGCTGTCCACAGTAGAGAGATTTGGTCTATGTGAATTACATGCTTGAATGGCTGGAACAAGAGATGATGGGACATTTGACTGGAGGGCTGATGGTTGTCAAGAATGCTGCAGAGACTCATGCTAGGCCTTATGTAATTTTGTTGGAAACAAACAACTCCATAAAAACTTGAAACAGTCTGAAGCCTGTGTTCCAGGCCCCAGAGAGTATATAAGGACTCCTACTCAAGTCTAGAAGGAATGGGCAAGTCTAGGTTTCCACAGCACTTCTGAAATTATGAGTTAATCTGGACTCATTTGGATGGGCTTTTTGTTTTTGGGGATATATATTTTTATAAAATAACTTTATTTCTGGGACTCCTCCAGCAGATGTGATTCAAAACCTGAACACAAGGAAATTCCAGACTTGCTTCATAAAAGGCTATATCATTACAGTAAGGGCAGGGCTAGAATTCTAGAATGCCACTCTAACAAATCAGGGCTAGTCTAGTCTAATCTCACAGTCTCTGAACCTCTGTATGTTGCTCTACTGCCCAGCTCTCCATACAATGCTAAAGCCCTAAATGAAGCAAGTCTAGATTTCCTCAGGTTCAAAATCATATATATTCAGAGACAAAAGGTTAGTCTAGGTCTGGGCAGAAGGGAAAATTATATGGTTCAGATTTTGGGGATTATTTGAATGAGCAAACCCACTGCCTATCAAAGTAACATGTCAGGTGCATATGTCACCTACCTGTTGATGAAAGGATTGAAGGACAATGGAGTACAGAGTTCTCTAACAATATGTCTTTTATTGTACTTTTTACTTGTTTTATACACATCAGGTTATTGTGACATAACTGGGACAAAGTTACGTTGAAAATATACACACCCAACAAGAATACTGTGATGCAAACAAAACACAACTTATTACAACACCAATGTCATTTATGATTTATTTATGTGTTATTAGATATTACCATATAGTTCCTGCTAGACAACAAACCCAGTCAAATATATTACTGGTACTATTTATGGCCCGTTTTCCTGTACAGATATTGCACATCAGTGATATTTTCTGTGACCTGATTTCCCATGCAGGTGAAATATGTCTGACATTTATTTTATTTATTTTTTGTGACTATGAAAAAAGTAGAAATTAAGGATAAACTTCATGGAAAGTTGATGTGCCTGTTGTACATTGTCACTCACCAAAAACATTCTCATATAACTGGCAATATTCTGGGGCACACTAACGCCATGTGTAAGGAAAGGTCAGAGTTGAAGACATCAGCTGAACCAGCCAACAGCAACAAGATGAGGAACTGGTCATGGTGACTCTTCTTCGTGTCTGACAGACTTCTTGCTATGGAAGAAGAATGGGTGGATGGGAATGCTAGTTAAATGATCCTCAGTGAGTTGAGATTGAAAATATGATGTGTCATTTAGATTGACATCCAATGATCGAGGGAAAAACAAAGCGCCTTTGAGCAGCTGAGCTGGATATCGGCGCTACACAAATATAAGTATGTACCGTATGCAAGATTAACATTTGGCACCAGAAATACAGTTAGCTTATTTAAGATTATATAACTACAAAATATAAAATCAAACTGAAATGGAAATAGACCAATACTTAATTAGTTTACATTTAGATGAAGCAATCTGGATTTGACAAGTCATGCAAGATTTAATTTGGATTCATTTGGTTTCATTTATTCTCTTGGGTCTAGGAGACGGACCAGTCATGACACAATCAGATTGTTAGGTACATATTGTCAGATGGAATTCAAAACTGATGATGTGGAAATCACAGGGTATAGATAGTTCTTCTTTGTGACATTTTAGAAGTTGATATATATATATACACTTGACGGCACACCTCTCTGAGTAGCAAAGATCCAAGTAATATCCACCACGTTTTTTTTAGTAAAAGCGTTATACTGAATACCATTATACATGTGCAAGTTTCCTTGACAACCAGATACAAATGTATTGTTTAAGGTTGTGACAAGATGGGTAAGTCTGTCACAAGAATCATGCATATAGATGCATTTAAATCAGATTTCTATAACTGTAGGATATTATGAATAATGCTATTGTATTAAGTCTATGGCCAAACACAAAATCATTTCTGTACATATTCAGTTTTCATACAATGAAGAAATAACTGCATGTGGGTGCAACACAAAGTCCTGTATGAGGAAAGTATGACAAGACAAGTCTGTTTATAGTATACGTCAGGACAACAATGGAGCTGCGATTGCTTTGTGAAAGAGTTGCAGGGAATATTCAGTTACAGTCGACAGTATTGATTAAGACACAGATATGTCAACTGCCATTGTATCTTGTAACCACAGGCTGAGAGACACTGTACAGATATAATTCTATGAGCTGAGTCCCATCAGCTGATGTACTGTTATGTTCTCACTGGACTCTCATTGGCTCCATGGCGGAACAGGTGCTTGTGTACAATGGTTCTCACCACTGAGAATTAGTGAAATCCATATTGCACTGATGCAACTATGGTGGTATTTTTAGCACCTTGTCAT